CCATATTTGCTAAATACAACAAGAAGTCATCGCCCAAAAGTGGGAAGTCCAAAAGACGAGCAATATTTTCCAAATCTTCTTTATCAGATGCAGTTTTTTTACTACTAAACGAGTTGGATGGCAAACGTCGACACCAATTTTGGTACTCAGAATGTTTTTGGCGCCGTTGATTCATTTGATGCAGATTAGCTTCATCAAGAGTTTTGGAATCCTTTTGGTGTTTTTCAATTCCTTTCGAGTTCAAATTATTAATGTTGAATCGATTAAAGCTAAAAAGAGACATATAAAGATATATAATATTTAAAAAAAGTTCATGTTGATTTATTAAGTTAATTAAGTGATGCTCGATTCTTTATATCATATTTAGAAAACAATTTTTAATTCTTCTTGAGGTTTTCCTTATATTAAAAAGAAATTGATTTCTTTTGGAAGAGCAGAAGCAGATCAGGTTGCTTTAAAATGTACCCTCTTTAGAGGAAACCATTTAGGCAAATTAAGAATTAGTATAATATTTACAGTTGGAACTGCAACTAGTCAGACGAAAAGTAGACTATTCCTCACTTTCTCTGTGCATGCTCTGCTTTTTGAAAGCTGCAAACATACACTTCAAGTAAACCGCACTTCAATACTCTCAAGAAGTTAGCGGATATAAACCTTCGAATAAACTTCGAAGGTTTCGAAACCAGACGGACTTGAGATCGGCGGATCTCACCGAGCCGTGTAAGCAAGTTTGAACTAAAATAAAAATTACTGGCTGGCAACCTATTTTTGGGACTATCAAAAAAGCGGCAATATGGAGAAATAACTTGTTTATAAAGTAAACATTTTTAAAATTATTTATCGTATATGAAATAATTAAATGAAAAATAAATTAACTTTTACACAAGTAATCAAATAAAATATTAAAAACTATGATAAAATAACGACCTAATACTTAACGATTACTCTTAAAACAATATAACAGATTTTCATGTATAATCATGTATTTTTAAATACAATAACATATGTATATTATACATTAAGGATCGATTTCAGTGATAATTTAAATTTAAATATTGATTTAAGTCACCAACTTTGCTCACTTAATTCATACTTAAGACAGTTTTAGTATATAACTCACAACTGTTAAATCGACCCGGAGTGTTCATTCAATGAATTCAATTTCATAAAATTTTTTTCTATGCGTACTTACAGATGGGTCAAATTATCTTGAAACGTATCATTCTGTGTATGTACTTCGTGAACATCTGAAGTTGTTGTTTTAACAGAGTTTTTGTTTATCCATATAATATCAGAGTTTGCTTTCGGAATTTCAGACTGTCTAACTGATTCAGGGACGAGATCACTGATTCGCTCCTCACCCGATGAAATGTAATTGTACTCCTCTTCATCTTCTTTCCTAAGCTCGTCGTTCGATGAGTTTGAATTAGATACGTCAGAATTCAGCTTACGCCATACTTTGAGACTAGAACGATTCCTCAACTCGGAAGATATAGAATGCTGATATATATTTAGATTTTTTTGGTTAGAGACAAGTGAGTGCATATGTTTTGTTTGGTTGGAAGGCAACGCACTAAAAATTCGCGTTCCAACTTCATTAACATAGACACTGATCCTCGGTATCGTTAGCAGGAACTCAGTTACGTTATCAAAAACAGGAAACCGTATACCGGTTATCTTCAAATAATCGTCTAAGATTTTATATAAAATGTAATATAATAAAAGTAATAACACCATATATAAGAATAATAATTTACCTCTAATTTGCGCAATCGTTGCACCATGAGAAGCACGTGCGATCAATATGCTGCGAATTTCATTATCCAAATCAGGAAATTCGTCGCGTATATCCATAAACTCATTATCCATAATAGTCATTGTTGATTTTGTATTTTCCAAACTATGGAGTGTATTTGTGGAAACGGATACTTCGCTGTTCTTCAATGTGGAAGTTGATACACTGGAGATAAGTTCAAAATTTTGAATATTCTCGAAGTTTTTTTCGGTAGATTGAAATTTTTTGTTGAATTTGAATATATTTCTTAATCTAGAATTATAGCTCCTGAAACTCTCATTAGACGTGAATATGTTTTTATTTAATATTTTGCTTTTGTGAAAGAACTGATTTTCCTCTCCGACACTTTGTTTCTGGAACGATTTAAGGCTTAAATATTTAAAACACGTGTTTATACGTTTACGGAATTCCGTTAAATTGCAAGTGCTCCAAACGCTGTCCCAATTACTTTTGATTGATTCCATTTTGTGAAAGAATCGATTTGTAGAAAGTATGATAATGACTTACACCATACGAATGTCTTTTTTATCTCCGTCTTCTACTCTTAATGGATTCTCAGTATACGTTCTTTAAAAAAACGTGCTGAGTTATCATTGATAAAAAATGCATATACAGGGGTGTTCATTTGAATTCAATGCACATAAATAAATTACCAAAATAGTATAATAAATAGTTATGGATTTCAAGAATTTATGTTTATAATTCAATTTTTTATAGAACATGTAATTCAATTAGAAATTCTGTTCAAACTCGGTTACCAGTTCTGATCAAAATTAGTTTAATATTTTTATTACCATTATATGAATATGTCAGATAGGTAAATCTGGTTTTAGAAAATCTGGTTCTATAATGGTAAGAAATTTATATGGAAGACATATGTCAAAGCTGGTTTATTTACAATGACAAAATTATTGACACTTAAATTATAGACATCCCTGAGATAATATTATAAAAATATGTTAGGTTATTTCTATTTAAAAATAGTTTCTATTACGAAAATAGTATCTCTCGTCATAACTGACTTTAAATCCAGCTTTGTTATAAAAAATAGTTTCTATTAAGAAAATGTATCTTTCGTCTTAACTGACTTGAAATCCAGATTATTTATAAGAAATTTTTAAAATAAAATATAAAAATGCCGTACACATAAAATTATTATATGTACATTTCTATTTCAAAAAAATAAACCTTTTAATTCATATATGGTATTGGATAACAACAATCACCACATAAATCTCATAGGTGTCTTCACATTAGGGCCATTCAAACCGAATACCTAAAATGTATGACTTAAATTTTTACATATAACTTGTTTTGTTGGATAATAGTTTGAGGTATTCCATTAGAGTTCGATAACTTGGAATTCGGCAAACCTTTATTAGTTTAGTTTAAGTTAGGTTGAATCGAAGGTCTTGATTTGCAAAACTAAATTGAGCAAATTTGTCTTGCTCGGTCTGAATACTCCTGTAATATATCTCTGTATTTATTAATCTGATTTTTCAATTTTATTATTTAGAATTTAATTTTTTTTTTAGTTTTATTTATATTAAATATATATTACGAATATATAATATACATATTTGAAACATTTAAATGTTTTTATACTTAAAGAATTATTTATGTTATCGCACAGCATTGTTTTTGCGACATATTTAATAAAAACTATCATCCAAGGCATCATAACATATGTTATGTTTAGTTCAAAGTTTGCTATAATATATTATATACCGTTTAACAACCGCTGAACGTGTTAAAATCGGGAAAACTAACGATGCAAAAACTATTCGAACCGAGTTTTCTTCAGTGATGAGACTTATTTTTCACGTGATGGATAAATCAACAAACAAAATTGTTCCATTTGGGGTAATCAAAATTCACAAATAATTGCCGAAAGATCGTCTTGTCCAAAAAAGTCACCATACCAAATGTATGGTGTGATATTTGGTCTTAAGGTATAATAAGTCTGCAGTTTTGAAAATGACGAAGGTATGACAAAAACCATCAGTACTGTAAACTTCAAACACATCTATTTCTTTAGACGCAATGTTGAAGATATATCTCGTTACTGATAGTAGTGATCACTGAACACTACAGTCACATTATAACATTTATTTTTTTTTTATTAAATCAAAGATCACGATCATGTGATTTATTTGATAATTGACTTTTGACAAAGAATTAATCGACTTAAATGTCAGCTATGTGACGACAATTCTTACGATCAGTACTGGATAAGATATCCCGTGGGGGATATCATTCATTTGAATGATATTGTATTTAACACCTAATGTCAAGCTGTAAATAATATATTGAGATTATTTTATTCAAAATTTCACTGTGATATATTTTATTTAAATTATTTTTAAAATGATAAGCTCTGGGATTAAATTTGGTTTCTTTAATTATAGCTTCATATAATATATATATAATATATATATTTTTAAAATTACTGTCCTTTATACTAAACAACTCCTTAAAGATGTAAATTTGTTAGGAGTTTTCTAGGAACTCATTTTCTGATCAAAATTATAATAAAATCAGAAGTAATATTTTGTATACTTAGTTTAATGGGTAAATATTATTTAACGAATTTAATTACTCATATTAAGTATCTTTTAATAAAAAGATTATTAAAGATTTTAATCTAATTTAATAATTTATTCCAAGAGAGAATACTATTTTAAACAGTTTCAGCAGCTGCAATTTTATAAAAGGTGTATGCTATGGATGTGTACTGCCTGAGACAATCTTATCTATGTCAATAAAAATTCAGAGTTTATGTTCCTTAAAAGCATTTAATTAAAATAATTAATTATTCTAGTAAAAAGAGAAAGTATTCAATGCAAATATCTGATGTGTGTATGTAATTTTACAACAATGTGTGAATATAAAATTTGAGGCATTGAAGTAGCATAAAATGATGTATTTGGGATTAGTCAGAAAGTACTTTATAAGATTACCCTTGGGAACTTATTCCCTTCAGACAAACCAATGAAAGTTTGCAATTATCTGTATTAAGAAAAAAGTTTTTATCAAAAATATACAATTGCACATTTTTTTTTATTGAAATAAACAATAATCAATCACCAAATAGTTATGCACCCTCTATTTTCTTCTCATAAGAATATTCTCCGCAGATGAGTTTCATAAAAAATTCATAAAAACAAATCAATTAAATGAAAGAAAAAAGTTTAAAAAAAAGTTAAGTATTAAAAATACAAAATTTAAATATTCAAAAAACAAGAAAAGAAATAAAATTCTAATATTAATAAAAAAAGCTATCCGTTATTATAAGATAATATCAAAAATAAGCTCTTTGACATATCTCTTTTGATTTATTTTTTGATACTTTTGATTTATTAACAATATAAGTATATATTGTATATATGTAAATATGTATATATTGTTATATATAACTGTAAACAGAATATTTGTTTTTATTTACTTGTTTTATATTTTAATATTTCACCAAAATAAGATTCTTAAATTAAGAAAAAAGTAATATAATATTTAAAATATATAATATAATAATATATAATTAAATAGAATACGTTTTACATAAATAAATAAATTAATTATTCAATTTCTTTAAGAATAATTAAATATACTTGCGTACTTGGTTTTGAAGCATCCAATATTTCAGATTATTGTTTTGGACTTATAGCTTAATTTTCTTTATTGAAGTAGTCTTAGTTCACACTTAAATCAGTTTTGGGACTCAAGAAATAATTTCATAAAATCATTTTCTATATGTATTAATAGATAATTATTTTAAAATGTGTTATTCTGCGTATATACTTCGTGAACATCTGAAGTTATTAATTTTATCTGAGTTTTTTTTTATCTACACATCAGAGTTTTTTTCGGAATATATTGCTTAATTTTTTTTTGTTTTTAGGGCTTTTATAATGTTTTAATACCCTTTATAAGTAAAGAAAACATCGAAGACCCTATAAAATATTTGTAGATATATTATACATATGTATATAGAATATTGCTATTTCTTGATTATTTTAACGAGTTGAATCAATATAGATATGCCCATTTAACATATTTATTTATATTTATTTTCTTTTTAAGAATTACAATATATATATATTATCTTAGTAAGATCAATAATAGAATTTATTTAATCTGTATACATGGATACATGGATCCAATATGTTAGATTAATATTTGGAGTTTATTTTTTAATTTTTTTTTTTCGAATAGTCTGTAATATTTTATATGTATATTTTATATATATATATTATATATTATAAAGTTAGTCAAGACATTCCTAATATATTTATATTTAATCCTTTAACTCCTAAGAGAAGCATAGACCGCAACAAATATCTGCCACTCGGTACGATTGGTGGCCAATAGCTTCAACTCTCCCCAGCTTTTCCGCATGTGTAACATTTTCATATCGATTTGCCTTCTCTAGGTATGAGCAGGTCTGTCCCTTCTTCTGCTACCCATCGGGTTCCACTCAATCACCATTCTTGTGGTGTCACGTTTTATAGGTGTTTGTTGAGTTAAAGACCATAGACGTTCATTTGAAATTGTATTTGACCAGAATACTTTAAGAATTTTGCATAATGACGGATTTACAAAAACTTGTAGTGCATTGATACCTTTTTCTGTAGTATTCCTGGATTGACATCCATATAGCAGGCAAAATTTTATGTTGGAGTTAAATATTTGTATTTTAGTCCGGCGCTATAGCTGAGATGATCTCCAGACTTTATTTAAGCGACCAAATGCTTGTCTTACCTTCCTGATACGGTTCTCAATGTCAGCACTGGATTCACCATTTGCTGATATGATGCTTCCAAGATAGCAGAAAGACTCTACATCCTCAAGACAGCAGTTGTTTATAATAAAAGGATCTTGGACGTTAGCATTAATGCGCATAATTTTTGTTTTGATAACATTGATTTTAAGTCCCGCTCTGTTTTCCGTAGTTATCAAACGATTTAGGTTGGGAGGCATTTCATTATATCTGTGTACCAGCAGACATAAGGCGTAATCGAGATCACTCAAGCTATCTTGAAGACATTCATAAAGCAGTAAATAAAATATCAGACCTCATATAAAACATATATAGTATATAGTAATTTCTGAATCAATACAGATATGCCTATTTAACATATTTATTTATCTGTTTTTTTTTTTTAAGAACTATAACATATATATATATACACCCACTCCTCCTTAACAGCCTTAACTCGTTCCAAAAAAGTTGGCCGTAAAACGAAATGCCGTTAAACGAAACAAGTAATTCCATAGAAATGTATGGAAAATAATAAAACTGGTTCCAAAAGAAACAAAAACCTATATATTACGACATCAATTTCTGGATTGTTTCGACGAAGTGAATCGATGTAGCCATAGACAATTGTTTATTTATTTCTGTTTTGACACCTACTAGCCAATTGTTTCACTGTTTTAAAGCTAGACGAATAATATTTAGCAAGTGAACTAATTTAAAACAGATCTCAAATATTTATTGAAAATGGACAAACAGAAATGGAATGACTTATAGTTAATCATCTCATCTATCCGGATTTAAGCGATGTTATTAAAAATCAAAAGATTTTCGATTTTATTAAAAAATTTAAATATCATAAATAAATATGTAATTGGATTTTTATTTTTTAACTAATTTAAAACAGATCTCAAACAGTTATTGAAAATGGACAAACAGAAATATAAGTCATTACATTTCTTTTATAGTTAATCATCATTCATCAGTCATTTTATAGTTAATCATCGCATCCATCCGGATTTAAGCGATATAGTCCCATTGCAAAGATTTTTGATTTTATTAAAAAATTCAAATATCACAAATAAATATGTAATTGGATTTTTATTTTTTAATTGATGAAATGTGTCGTATGTGTTTTGCCGGTACCAGGTACCTAATTATTAGCATAAAAAAATTTATCATATGGAAACCATATAAATTGTTAAGAATCTATGCACAAGGTGAATAGAAGAATGGCAGATACTATCACAAAGAAGAGGAATTAAACCGGTGGTTTTAATGACGATTAACACGATTCAATCCTGCATTAAAATTTATGTATCCATCAAAGGGAATAAAGTTGTTTTGGAATAAGAAACGCCTCAATCGCCATTATAGTACAAGCACAGTATTTCAACTTTGGATTGAATAGGGGATATATTAGGATATTGACCAAGAGCGTTGAATAACAGTTCAAAATTCTAAAATTTATTTAATACTCAATAAACAATAATATGAAGTAAAAATTTCCATATATAGTTCTGTTATTTCACAATTTTAAAGTTGATTTTATTTTTTTCCTAGTTTTTTCCGAAAAAATCTTTTTCGTTGGCAAATACTCAGTTTCATGTTCGATGGAACATGGCCGATAGGAAGCCCAGTAATAGTCAATCATATAAAATGAATGATAAATATTAGATTTACTTCATTACTTTAAAAGTATTTAGTTGAACTAGAGCATATGTTATGAACAATGAAGTTCAGTATAACAATATATATGTTCCCTACCGCTAGTGGGAGAAAACAATATATAATTGATTAGGCATTGATTGTAAGGTAAACTTCATAATCTTACTTAATTTGAGTAATGCATAAACCGGTTTCAATTTGGATATACATAATTTCGAAAGGATATAATGGTGCAAATATATGTTTTTAAGGGACATCAACTCTTCCGCTGATAATACTTTATATTATTATTAAATCTTGCTTATAGGAAAATTAAGAAAGAGGATTTAGTTTATCTAAAACGTGTTGATGGGGGTACCCAATATCTATTATTAAACCATTTAGGATTCAATTAATTTATAAGAATTTTTGTTCCGGAATTAATCTTTTCAATTAATTTATTGGAATTTTTGTTTAGGAATTAAAGCGTACTGTTTCCCACGATTATTGGTATAACATTTGCTCATATCTTCACAATTGGTCCATATTTGATATCCATTATCTTGTAGACTTTCTTTTTATTATGAAATTTGACTTCGGGCACACTTTTAAAGGATACCACCGACACATAAGCTCCTCTAAATGTAAGACTCCTAAATGTATCATATTAAATATTTTTCACACTTTAGTAGTTTACTACTTCCACTATCAAATATTGAATGTTACTACAAAATTATATTTTAAAGAGAGGTTTCGAACAGTACTAAATTGCAGCAACAACAACAATTTTTATTTATTCTTAATTAATTGAATTTATGACTAACCATACAGCTGTTTCAAGTACTGCCAAATAACCATCAATAGTGGTCTAGGAATTATTTCTTACTGCTTAAGTAAATTTCTTATGTACCATATTCACTACCGTCATAACTGACTTTAAAATCAAATTTAATATAGAATTCTATTTAATATAAAATAAATAATTAATAAATTATGGTGAATTTATATGTATTAATACCTTCCGACGAATGTGCGTGTTTTAACATCCAACTATTCTGGTTATTCTGGAAATCCTATTTTCTTCACATCTATGAACAAATTTAAAATTGCTTATATGCGTCAATCTTACCGCTGTCTTGTCAAACTGTGAATGCATGTATTGGTGCAATTAAATATTAAAGTAAATAGTTCTATCGTAATTACGGCAATACTTCCTGGCAACCAGTAGCTCTACCAGTTGCTGTCATGACATATGGTCCCATTGGTATTTCTACATTGTACGCATTGATACGACTAATTGCAGTGATGCTACGTGTTCGAGGTTTTCTCTATCAGTAATTACTGCTCCTGCTCATGTTGGGCTTCCAAGTCAGTTGCCCAACATTGTTTGCTGTCTGTAATTTTATTTCAGATAATTTTCTTTTCAATATTAGGACACAGCCTACTTCCTTCGTCCTCTCACATTTGTACAACTTGTGCGACTGTTGTCCTTCGCACATATTTAGTTGCATTTCTCGTATTTATGGTAAATAATCCTTAATTTATGTACGACCATGTACATTTATTTTCACACATATGCTCACTTCCAATGGTGTTTTGTGAGGGTTCTCCGTGGTTCCTGAAACTTCTTTCTGATTGAAGTAGTTTTTGTTGATATACTCGTAACAATTTCGATACAAGAGAGATTGTGTGCTGCTCATTCATGTGTGTTATTTATTTTATTCCACTATCCGTATTACAATTTGTGGTTACATGTGGTTACATTACCAAGTGTGATATTTGTAAATAGCCTCGAATCTAGGAAATCAAAGTTTAACAAAGACTAAACTTATACTTTATTCAAAGAAGTGATTGAGTGTACGTATTTACTCGCCCTATTGTTCTGCATTCAAAATTTGATGTGTACTTTGACTGCTGATTCAATTGCTTTGATGAATTACCACTGCCATTAGCCACAAAGAGTAAAAAATTCTTTAAAGAAATAAGAGTCCGTAAAATATGAGGTAGGACGAGAGCAGTGTGCAACTTACTTAAGAAAGCAGATGAAAACATCAAAAGCCAGCATCTTGAAGTGAAGTGAACTCAGCGGCACATTGCGGTTATGGCTGATGTGGAATCTGCCAATATGCCAAAGAACAAAACAAATTGGCCACGAGCCGAGCATCGACTTGGCCAATGATTTGTTGCGTCAGTTGTTGCAAATTGTTAAAAAGCAGTGTTTTCTCTCTGTTGAAAAACAAAATAGACTAGGAAAAGAAATAATGGAGCTACAAATTCATCCGATGAAAAATAGTGCATGCTGGCAGAAGCTCTTGCCCTCAGTTGAGTGGGAAGTGGAACAGCATGTTTTCTAACAGTTAAAAAGCGAAGCAAATAACAGCGTAATTGCATCAAATAACTATTTTTAGAATAATTCTTAAAGAAGTATGTACCCAAGTCTATACTGACGTTATGTTTAGGTATATCGTTTAATTTGTATTGCATAAAGAATTAATACAGAATAGCGATATGGCATTACAATTCTTCTCATACGATAAAAATTAAATAAAAATACAAATTTGATAATAATTTCTTCATTTGGAACGTCTCTTTCAGCTTTCTATTATAAAAAAATGTATATGAAGGCTAAAGGTAAACTGACGAGGAAGATGGATTTATTGGGTCTGGGATAAAATACTCGAAAACTGAAATTTTTCAAGCAAATGTGCATGTAAATGGCAAATGTATCTACTTTAATCTTAAACATATATACCGAAATCAACAACACTTTGATAAACACCCAGGCAGTCATCAGGGAAATCCCATTTAGTAATATTAAAACTGGTTGTACAGTGTTTAAAGAGCTAAACATATTAAGCTAAGACAATCGAGTATAGATTCTACGTGTTCTGGGGGTATACTGGAAGTATAAACAATGCAAACGCTAAAGGAAAAAAATTAAGTGAAGGCTAAAGGTAAACTGACGATAAAGCTGGATTCATTGAACCCGGGATAAGATTCTTCAAAACTTAAGTAATAAAGGCTTACATTTTTCTCAAATCTTAAACATGAATACCGAAACTAAAGCTATTCTAATATACAGTCACGATAATCAAGTGTAGATTGTAGAAGTTCTGGGGTATGCTGGAAGTGATATTAATGCAAAAGCTAAAGTACTTGAAAGTAATGGAATTCTTGCTTATAGACCTAAAACCTTCTATAGTTTAGGAAATAGTTATATTTTCCTATTTATTAACAGAAGAAAAAAAACCAAAATAGAGATTAAACTAAGAAAACCTAATAGAGTTTATTATATTTTAAATCGCTTATAGAAACCAACAACCTAAGTCGAATTTCCGATGAAATTTGTAAATTCTACAAAGTGGAAAAGGAGACAGCGTAACTGGTACTGGGTAGCTGCACTGCAATAATATAGTATGTATAAGCGAAAAAAAGTCGTAAATGGATACTCAACATCTCATCACGAACTGAAACTTTGGAGAATAGAACAAATGCTACTATTTATTATAGAGATAGCAGATAGTGAGAGTAGTAATAGATAAAATATAGAAATAGAATAGTAAGTTATTCTAATTGCAAGTAAATGACACAATATATATTAAGATCACGATGGAATACACCCTCTTTATAATAATAAGTAAACTTATTATTAAACTTATTTATTACAGACAAAGACATTATGTGACCTTTTAATAAACGTAGGTCAATTTTCGATTCTTGAATGTTACCTTAATACTTGACAGTTGATTGGCAAAAGATACAATTGAGTCCACTATAATCTTTTTGTCGATATTTGCCAATCAATTCAGCATATTTACCACTTCATGTTCAGTTCAGATTTGTTGTAAAATTTTAATAATATACATATATTAAAATTGCAAAAATTCCAGTAAAATTTAAATAATTATTTTATTTTCCTAACCTGTATTTATTTATTTTAAGTCGTTTTTTATTTTTTATTTAGTTTAACGGAGTGAAGTCTAAATCAATGGAAAAACTGCCACTCTGCCGCCTAAGCGGTAAAAGTGACGCCCACTAAACGTATCGCCAGCACTGGTTAGTACGCTCTGCTAACTACCAGAAAATATAGCTCTACCAGAAAAATAGATCTATATCTATGGTTCTATTTCCTCAAGCTGATGCTCGAGACTGATACTACTGGTTCTCAAAAACCCAAATTAAGCTATATTGTGTTTAGCTGAGTTTATTACCTGATTTTGTCTATTTACCAATGTTAATATAGATATTTTATTTTAATATATTTCTTACGAAAAATTTTATTTTATTCTCTAATTTAGGTTTCCTTTGTTTTACATATTTATCTAATTTTTTTTTTTTTGCAAATTTTAATATAATAATTTTTTAAAGATATATATTTTATTTAAACTACTTTAATTTATTTATTTAATTTATATACATATTTATAATATACAAAAAACTGATATAAAATATCCATGTTTTAAAAACATAGGTTTTCTGTTGTTAACATATATCTGTTAACTCTGATGAAGTTTTTAACATTCCCACTCAAACACACACATGTCGCCGTGACAAAGAAATAACATAGAAATAATTTTTTTAAAAACATACAAAAAACAAAAAATGATGTTGTTTTAGCATTACTACTTTTGTTTTTGTTATTTCGTGTTCCTCTTCGATGTTGTGTTCGTTCACTGTTTTGTTTACGTTGCAAAGCCGGTTTTCCTCTGAAAAAAGGGGAAGCAACAGCACACGAATTCTGCTTTGCTTGTATGCGCATTTTGAGAGTGAGTGTAGTTAGTATTGTGTCAATTACACAAAATTATGTGCAATACACAGACTTAAAAATTTTTATTTAAGTTTTATTTAATTTTTATATTAACCAAAATACCTGATGAAGTTAATTAAAATTGATATTATTTTAATGAAAAAAAAAACAATATTGTGTAATTAATATTTACTTGTATTTTTAATATTAGTCTGAGCATCAACAATTTAAAAAAACGTTCTTGCTTGATGAGTGAAAGTTTCATATTTTTATAATATTATTATTAATAACTAAACAAACATGTAGATGGACTCATATTATTTATTTATTTCCTTGACACTTTTTGTATTTAATTTACGTTTTGGATTTACTTTCATATGTTTGTAATTGCATATGAAATTGTGAACTTCGTAATTTACAATATTAAAAAAAGTAAAGAAACTGCTGAAACAAAATGAAATAAATAATTTTATAAAGTAATTAATATATTATATAAGCAATGTGAATTATATAAATAATTTAAAAATGTATAATAACTAGTCTATAAAATTATATTGTTTAATTTTTTATTATTTTTATATTGTCGATCATGCGAAGTATTTTGACATTATTTGCTATGTCAGTTATTTAAACATATAATAATATAAATTGAATGTTAATTATGATATAACATTTAAATTATATGTGTCTTAAAGTTAATCATATAAGCATTAATTAATATAAATAAATACTTAATAAAAGTATGTTTTTAAAAATCAACAAGTTTTATATGAATAATAAGAAAAGTACGTAATACAAAGAAGTTATATTTTTATTTTTCAATCGCTGAAATTAAAGCAAAAAAGCGTATTTGAGGAATCTTAAGCTTACATTCATTCATATCGATGTATATATATAAATAATATCATTACGAAGGTGTACTCGTGCGCAATAATATATAAATAATAAAAAATAAATCTATTTTTTAACAGTATTAAACTGTTAAATTTTAAATTTTAATTATTTATTCGATATATATGAGATTTAATAAACTTCGGAAATAATCTTTAAAAAAAAATAAACAATAAATTAATGTTAAACGTAGTTCCTAGTATAAAATACAATTTACTCGAAAATGATTACATGTGCGAGAGTTCAGCTTTTTATGTGAGCTGGTAACCCTGCTTCGAACCAAAACATACGCCAACATTTCTTTTTGTCGTCATTCTGTGTTTGCAACAAACCGAAAGTGGTCTGTTAGTCTGTTAAGTGCGAGTGTTGCTTGGAACCACAATAAACAAGCCTTGGCTTCATATTTAAAAAAGAAATTTAAATTTTAAAATAAGGAAACAAAAATTTTAATAAATAATTTGAAATTAAAAAAATTTGATTTAAAAATTATTAATGTCTACGGGAATAAGTGTAAATATTAATTATAAATAAATTAATTAACATAATTCTATGAAATTTTAATATATTTTATTTAAAAAATATAAATATTTTATACGAAAATTACATAAATAATTTATCTGTTAAAATAAAACATCTTAAACTAATATTAAAATATTTATCTTCAATATATTTATAATAATGACGCATTTAAATCTCTGAGAAATTTGAAAAAAATAAATATTAGTGAATCCAAAACCAAAATTATTGCTTTTTTTAAAAAAGCACGTTTCTATTCAACGAGAAAAAAAATGATAATAATAATGCCAATAAACGAAATCCGTAAACTAATATAAACATAAACAAATACAACGTTCACTGTTAAAAAAAAAAAAATAACCGCTAAAAAATGACGCGTGAAGAAGAGGAAGAAGTACGTTCACTGCTTAATCGCCATCAAGAACGTATTATTCTTGATTTGGGCGGTACTGATCTCGTAGCAATACTTGTCAAAAATTCTGTGTTAACACAATCCGAAGAGGATCTATTATTAAAACCCTATCCGTCAGATAGCAATCCGCCATCTAGCGTGCCTTCAAGTGTTACCGTTACGAAGAGAAAATTAAGTGCCGTGGTCAGTAGTGGCAGTGGCAGCAGTGCGGGCGGCAATAATTGCGGTGATTATAGTTCTAGTATAGCCGGTTCTAGTGCTAATAATTCGCGTAGTGCCAGTGTAAACGGTGATCATGCGCAAAGTGATAATCGCTCCATAACACCATCTGTGGTGAGCGTGAATGGAGTCGGTGGTGTGAATAGTGTTTGTGATGAGAATAGCGTTGGTGTCGGGGTTGTCGATTACTGCACCAAAGATGATTTGAATTCCATAAACGATGCCGATATTCTACGTTTGCAGTGCTCCAATTTAATTGAGATCATTGCTAAAAGCGGTTTCGAGAAATTCAAGCAATTTTGCTATGCAATTGAGAGTGAATGCCCCCAATTGATTGAGGATTTAATTAATGATCGACTCAAGTGTGGTAAGTCATATTTCTTTCTGCATTACTAGTTTGTAGTTTCTTCTACTTTGTAGTCTCAAAATTGCTGTTAGTTTGTTGTCATTATTATACGGTCGGTGCTGATATTGAAACTCGTTTCGGGTCGTGTTTTCTTTAATAAAATTAACAAGTTTCTGGTTTTACAAGTGCTAAAAATGGTTTTAGTCTTTGTTGTTATTCGATTTACTTTAACACACACCAATAAAACGGTTTAAAAAATAATAAGTTTTATAATATATTTTTCTATTATTTATATGAGATTTTTTACGCAAATTTATTCAAGCCCATAAGTAATGCAGTCGTTATTAGTTCTCTGACACTTTTCTGAGACAAAAGCTGTATATTTACATTCTTTTTTAAATTAATTTTATGCAAATGTAAAACACAAATAAAAACAATTTGTTACATATCTTTTTCAATATATATCTATCTATAATGTTGGTTTGATAGATAATTATATGATTAAGTTATAAACATTTACCAACAAGGTTAATTGGTGTGAAATACGAGTATATGAGTGTGAGGTAGGAAAACTTACCAGCAATATTTCAGTTTATATATTAAATTTAAATATTCAAAAGAATTCGATGTAGCCTTTGTATAAAAATGTATAGAATTAACTTTCAAAATTCAAGCAGTAAAAAAGATTGATATATGAAAAAATTTGAATAAATTGATTGACTAGCAAGGACTTTCAAAATGTTAATTTTTACTTGAAATTTATTTGATAAAAAATATACTCATTCTTCCAATTATGGTATTATTATGTTATAGGGATTATAGAATTATCATTTTATTTTTTTTATATTATATTGTCATAAATATATTGTATATATGTATTTATATTAGATTATATAATATTATATTATTGATATATTAAGTTTTATGTTATATAAATTTGGATTATATATAGGTATGTTATATATATAATTGGAGAAATTGTTTTTTATCAAATAAATTTCAAGTTAAAATGTTATAGAATTAACTTTCAAAATTCAAGCAATAAAAAAGATTGATATATGAAAAAAATTTGAATAAATTTATTATTTCAAAAATTTATTATTTTTAAATAATATTTTATTTTATTTTTATATTATATTGTTATAAATATATATCATATATATGTATTTATATTAGATAATATGTATTTAATATTATATTATTGATATATTAAGTTATATATTATGTAAATATACATATATTATATTAATGTGGATTATATATATGTTATATATATAATTAGAGAAATTAAATGTTTTTTATCAAAAAAACTTCAAGTAAAAATTAACATTTTGAAAGTGTGAAAGATTTCAGGCTATCTACGAAAATTCTATACACGGGAATAATAATAAATCAATTTCTAATGATGAATATAGTAACTTAAATTACAAAGAAAAATTCAAACTATTATACATAAAATAATGTAAAAGCAGATTCTTAAAAAAAACATTGTTGCAATGATATACTTATTGGGTGCAATTTATTGGAGAACTCTAGATTTGTAATATTATCTAAATTTATGTAAATAATATATTTATAAAAAAGATTACATATTCGGTTTTATAATATTAAAAATCTAGAGTTCTCTAATAACATTCACCCAATAAGTAAATCACCGTCGCAATGTTTTTATTTAAAAATCTAGATTTATTTTATTTTATGTTTTATATTTTAAATTATTCTTTAACATTTTAGTTACTATATTAATCTTTAAAAGTTTAAAAGTTTTTAAACCTTTTTTAGTCATAGAGACCCTGAAATCTCACATCCTATGATTATACCAAAATCAGATATACAAGGTGAGATGAAAAAACTGCAACAAAGTAAAACGCCATAATTTTTTCATTTTTTTTAAATTTTATTGAATGAAAGCAAAAAATGTCGGAAATAACATCAAATTTGAGAATCGGTTTAGATTTGTTCGAATTGGCCACCTTTGGCCCGAAAGTGGCTCTGCGGTATTTTGTCCCATTCTCGGCGAAGCGCTTGCTTGAGATGATCGACACTTTGGTATTTTTTAGTTCCAACCTTGCTTTCCAAAATACCCCAGGCACAATAGTCCAACGGATTGGCATCCGGAGATTTTGGTGGCCATTGTGCGGTGGAAATGAAGCGAGGAACCTCATTTCTTAACCATTCTTGGATGGCGCGTGCTGAGTGCGATGGTGCTGAGTCCTGTTGGAATGTCCAAGGTCTGCGGCCGAAATGTTTGCGTGCCCAGGGCTTCAGAACTCCCTCCAAAATATTTTCGCGATAGATTTGCGCATTTAATTTGACACCACGGTCGATGAATACGAGCGGCGAGCGACCATCGGCTGTTATGGCGGCCCACACCATCACCATGGCCGGCTTTTGAGTTGTGATGGCCAACCGAAGTTGCAAATTTTCAGCTGACCTCTCTGGCAAGTAAACACGATCATTTTGTTTGTTTACAAACTGCTGGATAACGAATGGTTTCTCATCGGAGAAAACCAAATTCGGCAGTTCACCACTTTCGGCCAAGCGAAACAACTCTTTAGCTTTTTCGAGTCTAACTTTTTTTTGCGCATCAGTAAGATCTTGCACTTTTTGGAACTTGAATGGCTTTAGTCCAAGCTCATTTTTCAATATTTGCCGAATGGCATATTGCGATATGTTCAGCTCACGAGCCATTTTTCGTCCACTGCGACGCGGATTTCGTTCAATTCGCTTTTTCACTTTTCGAACCATTTCTGCCGATGTTGCTGTTTTTTTTCGTCCACTTCCTTGACGTCGGGCTACGCTACCAGTATCATGGTAACGAGCGATGGTACGAGACACAAAACATTTATTCACTTCTAAATGCTGGAGGGCTCTAACGATAGCCACTTGTGGTTTTCCAGCCAAATGCAAAGCAATCACACTATCACGCTTGAATTCCATCACAAATAACTTTTTTTTTGAAAAATTCCCACCAAAATGCTTTTGTGCGCTTGTAAACAATATAATGAGCTGTCACTAGAATAAATCTGACAGCTGTGGGACGAGCGGTTTAGAAATGACAGCAGTCTGAAGTTGGTTGCAGTTTTTTCATCTCACCTTGTATTTTAAAATCATTTTCTTTTTGTTGGAATAGAATTTGTAAAAAATAATTATTAAATAATATAAAATTGAATTGTTTTTAAATATGACACTTTTTTATATTAGTTAAATATACCTATATTTAAACAAACATTTGAGTATAACCATATTTGTCACAATTACTTAGGTTCTTTATCGTCTTTAAATGTTTCTCCATTTCATTGCATATTAAACAATTAATAGATAAAGAGAAAGAAACTTTGTTTAACTTATTTCCTAATATTTGAATTAATAACCGAAGGAACTGTAGAACATTAATTGGTGTGTTGACAGGTCACAGTCTGGTCGCATCACATGCCCGAAAACTAAACCTAACTCAGCGATGCTTGTAGGAAATGCAACGAGACGAATGCAAATGAAACTCTGGAGCATCTATTTTGTAATTGCCCGGCTCTCTCGAGAACTCGACAAAAATATTTCGGGGCTGTCAGTTTTACAGGACTGGAGCACATTCCTGAGGTTTCTGTTGGAATCCTAATAAATTTTGGTAATGAAACGCGCATCCTAAGTGATGCATACAATCGCTAAAATAAGACTCTGATCTGGTCCACGCGTGGCCTTTTTGGTCTGCCAGCATAATCTAATCTAATTTGAATTAATATAAATATTAATAGGAACAAATAAATTAATTAATTATTACTATGTATATTCATTTCATCATAAAATTGTATATGTTATTACATTTTTATATTCTATTATTATCATTGATTATAAAAAACGTAAATTATTTTATATATAATATATTATTCACTCTATACTAGACAATATTTTTTATTGTATAAAATATTTTGAAACCCAATTCCAAAAAAAAAAAATAATACGTTTGTTTTTTTTTTATTGAGAACAATATTTCGATTATATTCTATAGTCATTTTCAGGGTAATAGCCTGTACTGAGATGACTATAAAATATAGTCGAAATATTGGTTTGAATAAAAAATGTTTTAAAAAAACCACATTTGTTGTAAAAAAGTGTATTATTTAACAAGTGACCAATAAGCCCGATTAAAAAATAAAAATATTATTAAACATTTTAGTCATTAAAATTATAAATTATTAAAAAAATAAAATTAAAATGGAAGCGTGCTTAAGCTATATCCTCAGATAAATAAATAATGTAATGTATAATTGTTATTTAAATCAATATGTGGTTCTTTTATAGAAGTCTAAAGAATCGAAACTTATTACATGATAGCCTCTTATCCTTGTTAATTCCCTGACTCTTTAGTTGTGGCCTATTCTCCATAAGTGAATCCTCACTTAATTCATCCATCTTGTTTATTTTCGTCCCGTTTTCTGATAAATTGCTTTACATAGTTTACAATCTGATCTGTCATTAGGCATTTTTATTATATAATTCGCATATTTTAATCTCTGGTTTCTTACATATTCAGTTATTTACATATATCATAGGTATATATTAACTGATTCATTAACAGGTTATCATTTCCGCTTTTGTTCCCCTTTCATCTATTACAATAGGCCTTATAAAAGTTTTTGGGAAAGTACATATATTTTGATTGCCTCAGATTATTGTTCTATAAATAAATCTATATTATTATTATTAAAACTATTGTTGTGAAATCGATCAACAGCCTATACTGTGTCCAGAAGTGTCATATTGTACCAAATTCTACTTTTTGTTAGACAAAGCCTTTTAAAGCTTTGTGAACGAAGTCCAATCTGGAAATCTGGAGAAGAACTCTGAATCAGTTCTAGTTGCAGAAATTCAATATGGAATAAGTTTCTTCTGTGCGTTCTTAAAGCTGGACGATCACAAAGAATATGCATAATTGTTTCCTCATCTTCGAGGCAGAATATGCATTCCGAATTAGCAGATAATCGAAATTTGTATAGCTGATTTTTTAGACCATAATGA